CCCTAAAGTTATACCTAAAGGTATCTAAGCCCCTAAACAAAAATTTGGAGCAAATAACTCTCGTTTCCATTACAAGAGGGCATTAGGCATATCCCCTTCACTAACGTTTCCATTACAAGAGGAGTTTTCAGTAACGGGAGTTTCCATTACATTTCCTTCACTAACCTTCACTAACGGTTAACACAGGGAGTAGTTGACACTTAAGTCTTAAGAGCCTGGTTGAATTTCCTCTACCTAAATCACATCCGAATCTACTTTTTTTAGCAAATATCTTAAATAAACATGTGTCAAATTAACTAACTAAGTGTCTAATTATAGAGTTAAGATGTTTTAATTAGATTGGATTTTTTGATCTGATGTAATTTGGTCTAATCAATTTTTGTGTGATCTGGTCTGATCTATTTTAAAAGTTTTTACTTGGACATGTTTAAAGTCTTAGACAAAATCACACTTGAACAAATCTGAATAGACATAAAATACACTAGACCTCGAAAAACTTTAAAATACTCAGAAACCAGAAATCTATCAAACAAGACAAAATCAAAACCAATTCAGACCCGGCCAAATCAGATTAGACCAAACCATAAAATTTTAATCGATACAAAAACTTCACATGTCTGCTATTAAATGTCACTAATATTATCTATACTCCGTATATTATAATCCGCATATAATTTATTCGTGTTGAGGTTTATTCCTTCAACCTTTGGGTCCAACACGACGACACGTAAGCCCATAGATCTCGAGTGGATTTTGTATGTGTGTATGAATAACTGACCCAACAAGCAAATAAGATGGGCTAAGAGAAAGTTACTAGCAAGTAAAAGACCGGATATTATTGATCAATAATAAACCCCCGATACAATACGCTTGCTAATTTCAAGCTTCTACCAAGCATATCATAGAGACCCTAGATCATAGCAATCGGTTGCTATATGGGAAGAGATACAAAATACTACAATATACTGTGGCGGCGAGGTGCGGCCCGATGGCGGCGGCGGAAACATGCGGCGCAGCAACGACCAGGTGTGGTGGAAGCACCCAGTGATGGTGCTGGTAAGGTACGGTGGAAGTGAAGATAGGTAATAGGGATTCCAACGGAGGTCCGAGTATGATTGTAGCAAACACCCGTTGAATATGTGCAAGGGTGTGAGGCTATTTTTGTCTCTCCACTTGAAACTAGTCCTACTTACGGATTAAAAACTCGTAAGTCCTATTTAGATTCCAAAGCTTTGTTTTACTCTTATCTAGGTGTTTGTCCCATAATTCAAAGGAATTAAAGCTCAAGAGATGCACGTACATTTGTTTCAAAAAAAAGATTGAACGTACACTATTGGTACGTATTATACAATCAACGGGGAAAGGTTTATCCAACCTACTCCGTATTATTATCTATATTGTAAGAACCGGACCAGAGAGTGACCCGGAAAAATTAGTGGGTCACGGGTCAATCCGGACCCGGCGGGTCAGCCCGCTCAATAACCGGTAAGCTCGGTCAACACTATTACATATACGGAGTAATTAATTAATTATATAAAAGAATAAATACATAAATAGAAAAATCACATCCCTTCATAATTTAAAAATTATAACAATGCGATATAAGCAATGTCAAAAAATATTGTATTACAGTACATATTGATTTTAACATAATTTAAAATACATTTGGATTTAGATGAATAATAAATACTACTATCAACATAATTCCATTTACAAATTTGAAAACAATAATTAAAATATGATACACATAATTAGGAACTATAATACTCCGTAATAGCATTAATTTTTATTTATTAGTACGTATCATTTTGATTATTAATTAATTGCTTTATTAAGTAGTTCTCGTAGCATTTATTTAAGATTTAACAAACAAATTCAGGCTTCCAAGTTATAAGGACAAATAAACAAACGATAATGACCAACTGACTAGAGTAGTTCGGTGGTTTTCATGTTGAATGTTGCTAAGTAGCATTAGGCGCGAGTTTGATTCCCTCCCTTCTCCACTTTTTCTATTTTCCGGGTCTACTAGCGGTTTACTGCCAACCAAACCGGATTCACGGCCGGATGGGCGGGTTCCGGGTCGGACCGGGCAGTCCGGGTTCAATTCCCTCCCTTCTCCACTTTTTCTATTTTCCGGGTCTAGTAGCAGTTTACTGGCCAACCAAACCGGATTCACGGCCGGGTGGGCGGGTTCCGGGTCGGACCGGGCTGTCCGGTAATCTTACAACACAGATTATTATTGCCCAATACTATTGACACAAGATTATTTAAATAATCTTGTGCACTCTTGGTGTTTGTGAAAGTGCTTGACTACTTGTCAGCTTGTGTATGCATTTTACTTGCTTTGATACGTCCTCTGTCTCAGAATTAATTCCGTCAATTTATGCAAATTCAATCGATTTAACCAATTGCAGTATTGCCAAACGAGCACTAATAAAATACTTTTGACAGAATTAATTCTGATGTGTCTTGAATAGATCGGGCACCAATTGGTTTTGCCTTACTACCCTTACAACATTACCTTTCTTCTCGTCTGATAATTTGAACATAACAACATCTCAATTCAAATTGGATCCTCGTCTCTTTTGAAAATTGATTTTAGGAATTGAGGCATTGGACATGATAGTATACGCGTGTCTTTGCGACATTACCCTTTGTGGCATTACGAGGCCGTTTGGAACCACTATTTTTCGGCTTATCAGCCAACTTTTTCACCAAACACTTGATTTTTGCTTTCGCGCATTGAATTGTGTAATAAGCAGAAAAAGTAAAGTTGAAGCTACTTTTCTAGCTGTATTGGCTGAAGTTGCTGTAGATGACCATTTTAGCTATTTTTACATATATTTTTTTCTTTATTTTATTAATAAAATATATTTTAAAAATAATTTTCTCTTAAATCAGAAGAATCAGCCAATGCAGCCACTTCAGCCAGAACTTCAGAAATTTCAGCAGAAACAGCCAAATCAACCGATTTTCGTGCTACCAAACAAGCTATACATTTTTTCTTCATGTGTTTTGCACTTGTTATACCACCAAATCCATCACTCTATAGTGTGTACCAGGCCACAATTAAAAGCCATCGATAGATTCGAATAAATATGTATCAATCTTATGTCATCACATTAATATTTGTGGTGTTATCACTTTGATAATAAATTTAAGTGACTGAAGATTATAAGATGATACTCCCTCCGTCCCGCTGTGATTGTCCCATTTTACCATTTCGGTCCGTCCCACTAAGACTGTCTCATACCTTATTTGGTAAAGTTTGTGTGGTTCTAAATCATTCCTACTTTATTTTTACTTTATCAATTCAATATCAACCACATAAACCCACTTTTATTAATAACCGTGCCACCTTCTCTTGTCCCAAACTTAGGGGGACGGAGGTAGTATTATATATCAACATAAGTTTCAAAATATTAATGAAAAGTAAAAAATGACCGTCATTGTATGACACGATCACCACCATTGCGTGTGATGACTTGCATCCAAATGTCAAATTGTCAATACTCTCAAAGTATGGTGAAGTGAACAAAACCACAACGGATATGATAAATTGTCGGTCTGTATTTGCTAAATAAAAAATTTAAACTAATAAAAATTACTTCTCCCTTTCAATTGCAACAGTCAACATTTCACGTTTGTCAACGCATAAGTTTGACCATTAATATCTTTCAATCCTTATTAGTAAAAAATTTAAAAAAAAAACATATATATTTTGAAAATTTAGAATGAGAAGAATTTAAAAGAGAACGAAGGTAGTATAAAGTATATGGAAAATAATTCTAAATAGGAGTAAATATATTCCATTTCCAATTTTACATCTCTAATTTGTTTCAATTGTGCAACATCAGCTTTCTCCGATCCGCTCATCACCTCTAGTGGAAGTTTCCTTTGCAAATGCCTTTAAGATGACCTTTTTTATCCAGTGTGGCACTCTTACAAAATGATGACATTTTTTCCGGTTATCTGTTGTGGCAGTGCTAGAAAGCGGCGGCCCGCGGGAGATGCCATCAATTTTATGCTTATGTTTTTTTATCATTATGTTTTATATCAAAATATTTATTAATGTAAGGATAAAATCGGAATAAAGGTATTAATTATTGCTATTTTGGGAAGATAAAATTTTTCCTCTTAATCTTACAATTTCACAATTGTGTATAGGATTAACCCCTATAATAAAACAAAAAATGCAATGTAAGGAGTTCTGCCAAAATAATAGATAGTCCGTACTACGTAGTACTGAAACATCAATAATATGATGTATTTGTATGATAAAATAAACCATGGTGAGAGCTTCTTCTTGTACACACTTTTATACTCACCATGTCTGTATAAAAGTGGGTATAAGAATGGGTATAAACAATTTTTTTGTTGAGATACTTTCGGAGTAATAGACTTTGGGGTAGAAGAGTAACATAAACTGTTTCTTTTTCGTTATTAGGATTATAATGCTAACTATTTAGGTTTTTGAGTTTTTTTCTAAAATACTACTACTACGTATTGAAATAAAAGAGTACTTATAAAGTTATAAACAAATTAAATATCCAACTAAAATTACAATGATTATAACATCATGATCGCTATGTTGAAAAGTTGAACATAATCAGTTATGAACATTATCAGTTTAAAATTACTAATAGTTACGATTATAGTCATTTTGTATAAAATGACACGTTTTTTATATATTAGTCATATGTAAGCTAAGTCAGTTATTTGACTTATTTTCTACCATTTATACGGAGTATATTTTAGCCTATTAATCCAAAATATGGTGATTTTCTCAAAAAATAAATTTATGTATTCTGAAAATAGGCTTAAATTTCTTAAAATGCAAGTAATGGCTAATTGTAGATGCTCATGTATGTCAACCTCCAGTAGGGGCTGTAGTGATTCGATAATAGTAAGACACAAAAAGACGTAATATTGTGCTCACACAGATTTCGTGTTGCAATAACATAGGAAGACAAAATGCATTTCCAACCCCTTTCGGTTCACTTGATCTAATCATCCCAATTGTTGCTATGAGCATGATTACGTACTCCTAATTCTATACCCATATAATATATAAAGGAAAAGGCTAGTAAGTGTAATTGTATCACTCCAATAACCAATGGTATAGTGAGATATAGTTTACAAAAATGGCAGCGTTAAGAGTGTGTTGCATAATTTTTGTGACTCTGTTAAGCTTAGCAATAAGCTGCTCTACTCATAAAGTTAAACCCCATCCAAAAGCAAGAGAATTGGTTGAAAGATCAAAATCAACTATTCATCATGACCACCATTCTTTGAAACACGCTCATGGTAAATCAAAGGAAAGTGGCATCCAGGGAGATGAAGAACTTCACGCCGCCCATACCCTTGGAGGTTGGGGCGGGGGAGGAGGTGGAGGAGGCGGCCCTACTACCCCTAGTGTTGGTGGTGCTCCTAGTTCCGGTAGTTGGGGGTGGCGGTGGAGGAGGAGGAGGTGGTGGACCTACTAATAACCCTGGTTTGGGTGGGGCTCCTAGTTCGGGTAGTTGGGGTTGGGGTGGTGGTGGGGGAGGAGGTGGTGGCCCTACTAACCCTGGTGTTGGTGGTGCTCCTAGTTCAGGCGGTTGGGGTTGGGGTGGTGGCGGAGGAGGAGGTAGTAGCCCTACATACGGTCCAGGTGTTAGTGGAGGAGGCGGTGGTGGAGGGGGAGGCATTGGAGGTGGGAGTGACGGAAGTCTCCCCACTTATGGTCCTGGTATAGGTGGAGGGGGAGGAGGAGGTGGAGGAGGCCCCGATTATGGTCCTGGTATTGGTGGAGGCGGGGGGTGGAGGTGGAAGCGGTCCTAGTTATGGTCATGGTATAGGCGGTGGTGATATTCCAGATTATGGTTCAGGTGGAGGCGGTGGAGGCGGAGGTGGAAGTGGCATTGGTGGTGTTGGAGAAGGAAACATTCCAAGTTACGGTTCTGGATCAGGCGGAGGCGGAGGAGGTGATGGAGGAGTGGATGGTCAAACGAGGAGTGGCGACATCGGCAACGACTGGGGATGGGGTTGGGGTGGGAGTGGTCATCATCACCATCCCATGGGACTCCCATTATTCCCTTTTGGATCTCTACCTTTTGAGTGCCAACATATCAAATGTGTTGGCCCTAATTGTCCCAAATATCATATGCACATGCACTACCACAACGGTGTGAAGCCATAACTTGCGGACTTCTTCATGACACCCAACCAGCCAGGCCACCTCAAACCCCTAAACCGTGGCATGTCCAATACGATGTATGTTTTATGTAGCTGTTAATCAAACATCAAGCTAGCTTATACAAAGAAAATGATCGTATGTATAATGATAATCATATAACAAAACACAATATTTAGTGATGGTAAAGTGAGACCAAACTAATACTATGATACTCCATGCATTACGGTTGTATCACTAGTCTCAGGTGATTAACGATGTTTGAGTGTTTGACTTAAAAGTAGGGGTGGACTTGGGCCGGGCGGCCCGGCCTGGTCACTGTTTGAACCGGCCCGAACCGCCGGCCCGGCCAGGGACCGGTCCGGGTAGGCCCGACCCGCTGGGGTTCCGGGCCGGGCTCGAGCCCCTGAAAAGGTGAACCGGCCCGGCCGGTTCGGGCCAATTTATTATTTTTTCTTTTTTTTTTTTGAATTTTTTTTATGTTTTTGGGTTGGGCTGAGTATTTTGGGCCATTTGAGGTGGTTTGGGGTGAGGGGGGAGGGTTGGGGGTTAATTAGGAAAAGCCAAAAAAAAATTAATTTGAACCGAGGCCCCGCCCGGCCCGAACCGGACCCGGGGGTTACCCGGGCCGGTTCCGGGCCTCCCCTTTTATGAACCGAGGCCCGGCCGGGCCCGGGCCCGAACCAGGCCCCAACCGGCCGAGTCCACCCCTACTTAAAGGTATTGTGATTGCCTTTAATTATTACTTTTAAAAGTGCTAAATGACTAAACAATTTAGTACAAAATTGCAATAATATACGAAGCAGATGCGTAGTATCTGTGCTTTAAAGTTTTTATCTTTGGAAATGTATTTAACAAATTATTACAGACTCATTCTGGAAAAGTTTGAATCATCAAAGTGTTATATTAAGACATGAGTTACTCCTCCTATCAGGTTAAACTTTTAGAATGAAAACCCAGATCTTAACAGAAATAGCTATGTTTAGATTTTTGGCGATTTTAAAAAGTAATGGATTGTGAATATTGAATGTAACTATTGTTGCGTGTTTTTGATTAAATGTTGATGGATAATGTATTACTAGTACTCCGTGTTTGTTCACTATTGTTGCATGTTGTTGATTAAATGTTGATGGATGTTCACTGTTTTTTGTTGACTAACACAATTGCATTTATGATTAACACAGAAACTTGATAAGTGAATCAATTGGTGTTTTTCAAACTTTGTTTTGCCCCACGGAATGATTAAATCTCAATTAAGCAATGTACTTTCTACGATTATTAACTACACGTTATATGAAAACAGTACTTGAATTCATCACCGCGGACATTGTTCAATTAAGCAAAGTACTTTCTACGTTATTAACTACACGTTATATGAAAACAGTACTTGAATTCATCACCGCGGACATTGGAAATTTGGAATAACGTACACCAAAATGACGCCAATTAGGGGTAGGATTGGAGTATACGGAGCATGTAACTTCATGTTGTTCAAAGTTGCCTTAGCAACAAATAGTTCTTTTGAAGAGTTAATGGGAAATTTAGGATGTAGGATTGGAATAGGGACAACAATTAAGACATTGTTTATTAACTACTAGTACAATGTAAGAAATATTTATAGACTTTTAAAGTTAGAAGAAACAATTATTTTATTTACATGTAACGAAATGTTCTCTCTGTCCTTGAATTATCTTCAAACATTATATTCGTCCCAAAATTATCTTCATTTTTCTTTTTTGACAAAGAATTTGTGTTTCACAACCATTCTTACACATTTTTCTTTCCACTGCACAACTCTTAACCACACAAATCTCACTATCTTAATCACCGTGCCAGATCAAATGAGGAGATAAAAGAGGGAGAGATGGAGTACTCCGTAAGAGATAAACGTGACAGGTTCTCTTTTATACATCACTCTTGCTCACATAGGACAATACCTAGGACACAAATTGTTGTACGCCTGAAGCAAGCTAATCAACACATAGGAGTATACGACAGAAATGTTAGATGCATGGACGGATGGACCAAGTATCTAGAACAGAGATGTATATGTTACAAATTTTGGATTCGAAATAGGTTAATAGGGCATATATGATTATATGAAACTGCTCATATGATTCTATGAATGACCTAACCGAGATGCAAACACCCGCTAACGCTATGTTTATAGAAAAGTTGAACTTCAAAACCTTTTTTTGACAACTTACACGTTCATTATTCTTGAAGCGTTTTATCTTATGTAGCTAAAAATTAATAAATCATGAATCAAGATTGGAAGAAGCAACTTTGGATCATACTTTTTCGCGCACTATTCCATACAAAGACAAATTAGGTGGTGCATTATATTACATCTGTCCTCGTAACTTTGGTACAATACCAGAGGAAATGGTAAAATTGTCAATAAAAGTGAGATTGTGCAGCTAATATTGAGTTAATAAAATAAGAATAAGCTAAAAACGGTTTAGAATCATACAAATATTATCAAGTTTAATACTCCGTAATAGACAATCTTAATGGAATGAAATAAAAAAGAATTAAGGATGAGACAATCTTAATAGAAAGGAGGATGTAACGGATGTAACATTTTATTGTTTTTGTTTTCTAATTGTTTATTGTCCTTCACTTTAAAATTAAATAATTAATACTGAGTATAACAAAGTGAGGTTTACTTTATAAACGGAATTGGAGTCGGATTATAATTGAATCGGATGTCCAATCGATTGCTCGAGGAATTCATAGTTTAGACTTCAGATGACATTTCTTATAATAATGAACGTTCAAAGACACATGTTAGCGCCATTTTTTAGTTTGATTGTTCTTGGGTTACAACATGATTCGAATTGAACAATAATTTGGCAAACAATCATTCTTTTTGTACACTCTTATATCCACATTATACACACCACGTCTCTGAAAGTTTCTTTTTATCTGTGGACCCGATTCACAGAGAAAATAATTTGCACAGACATATTTTGCAAAAAGAACTTTGCTCAAACATGATGAGTACAAAAGAGGATATAAGGGTGGATACAAATGACTTTTTTATTTGATGTGATAAATTTTTAAAATTTGAGTCTATTATTGACGAGTCGAACAACTACCCAATCCATTATACGGGCGTAAATATATTCAGATTTTGCGAAGTGATAAGATAACACTATCGTACATCGTACTAGGGGTGGGCACGGTCCGAGTCGGTTCGGGTAATCGATAAATTTTCAAGAACCGCCGGTTCCATTTAGCGAGTAGGTTCGGTTCGGGTATATATACCAATTTTCAAAATAGGAACCGAACCTTACTCGCCCCGTTTGAAACGGGCCGGTTCGGTCTGAGTCCTCTGTTCTTTTTTTCGGGGGAAAAATACGACTATGCAAGCAAAGTTTCTAGTAAGTTATAAAATTATCAAATTAATTACATATTAATGTAACCATAATATAGTATTTATTCAAATAAAAGAATAAGACAACATATTAAATTAGTTAACAAAATATCGAACCACAAATCTATAAATTAAACAACACACAATCAACTTACTTAAAATGGTAATCATCATTCATAAACCAATTAAAAAGATATGATCATAAATTCATAAGAAATTAAACTAGTTACTATACATATTTGTCTGTGAGAACAATTTAAAACTTATGAAATCTCCAAGTAAGATTAAGACAATTAAATTAATATGTCACACTTCATTGAGTAAGAGTCTTTGTTTACAAAAAAATATTAAAAAAAGAAAGTTTGATACATTTGGAGTAGAGAATAGAGGAAAATAGTTTATGAGTTTAATTATATGAACTTGAAAATAAATTTTAATAGACTGAGAAGTTTCTGTAATTAGAAGTTTTTGTCTAAACACAAGAACATGAAGAGCTTTCGTGTGTTGTTAGTATATTATATTATACTAGTATTAAATATTTTTGAGATTATTAAAATAATATTTTAAAACGATTCGGTCCGGGTACACGTTTCTTCAAATTTTAAAACTCATTCGGTTCCTAAGTTTTTCAAGATCCACCCCGCCCCGAGCCATTTGGATTTTCTAACATTAGGATTCAACCCTAACCCGCCCCGAACCTGTATTTCCCGGCCCGACCCACGGTTCCAATACCCGTTTGCCCACCCCTACTATGTACTATGTATTTAGTTATTTACCATTGAGGTGGCCTTTGAACAAGTGATAAGATGAAACTTAAGGGGGCCTTTGAACTAGTGATTCCAATTAAGGATGTTTTTATTTAGACAACAATTTGAGAGTGGTCTGATTTGATGTGTTAAGGTCTGGTCTGTTCTGGTGTGGTTTGATATGTTTAAGTTTAATCTGGTCTAAATTGATCTGCTCTGGCATGTAAATGTCTGATCTCGTTGTATTTTAAAACTACAGAAGTGAGGTCTGATCTAGTCTATTTGAGTATGGTTAGGTCTGGTCTGATTTGGTCTCTTGAAGTCCGGTTGGAAGAGAAAACTATGAACCGTCGACATCCATGAATTTCCTAATTTAAACCAAAACACCAAATCAAACAAATTAAAATTCATTTCAAGACTGATGTAATTATCATCATCATTATTATTCCCAATAACACCTGCAATTCGAAGATAATGCAGAACAAATAGATGTAAGGAGTTACAATTTTGCGAACTTCTTGAGGTTCTGGGCAGCATCTATGGCGGCGGGTTGAGGAACAGACATTACCAACAGAGTGACTCTTGAAGAAGATATCATAATTCGTCCTTTAACTTTATCTTCTTCTCCATCCGCCTTCCAGAGCCTCACTTCCCAGACCTGAAGGGTTTTTCCGACGTTGATCGGCGTTGCCTCGGCGAAAACGAGGTCGCCCATTTGTGCACTCTTCAGATGGTTGATGCTGAGCTGGACTCCGGCGACTCTCCGGAACCCTGACGCCATGTGGGCGCCCATGCTGGCCAGAGCCTCCGCTATCAACGCCGATACTCCGCCGTGCAACACCTTGAACGGCTGGCAGCACTTCGCCGTCACTGGAAGCCGACCGGTCACCTTGTGCGGCGTTATCTCCCCTATCTCGAATCCCACTGCGTGTAGCGTTGGATCCAAAATCTCTGTCTTTGTTCTTGATGGATCCATCTCTAATTTCAACAAGTTTAATCAAGGAATCGCAGTTTCTTGTTTCTCCGATGAAAAAGATGAAATCTTTTAAATGCCCTGCATTTTTTTATGGAATTGGGGGTGGTTAGTGGAGTTACTACAGTACGGAATTACGCAATACTCTTTCGTCCC